AATGCCTGCACACCCGCATTCATCACAGCATGTTCTTCACAACAGCCAAGAGCTGCAAGCGCCCAGATGTCCACTGAAAGATGAGGGGGTAAGCCTATCGAGGTCTATTACGCAGCCTTAAAAGAGCAAGAAATCCTGACGCCTGCTACAACATGGATGAACCTCGAGGACTTTATCTCAGTGAAATAAGGCAGTCACAAAAGGACAGATCCTGTGTGAGTCCACTCATATGAGGTCCCTAGAAGAGTCAGATTCACAGAAACAGAAAGGATGGTGGGGGCCCGGGGCTGGGGGAGGGGGAATTAATGTTTAGTGGGGACAGAGTTCCTGTGCTGCAAGATGTAAGAAGTTCTGGAGATCTGTAGCGCAACTGTGTGAATATTTTAACACTGTTGAACTGTACACTTCAAAATGGTTAAGATGGGACTTCCCTGGTGGCGCAGTGGTTAAGAATCCGCCTGCCAATGCAGGGGACACGGGTTCAAGCCCTGGTCCGAGAAGATCCCACATGCCGCGGGGTAACTAAGCCCATGTGGCACAACTACTGAGCCTGCGCTCTAGAGCCCATGAGCGTAGAGCCCGTGCTCCACAACAAGAGAAGTCACTGCAGTGAGAAGCCCGTGCACCGCAACAAAGAGTAGCCCCCACTCGCGGCAACTAGAGAAAGCCTGGGCAGCAACAAAGATCCAACGCAGTCAGAAAATAAATAATAAAAATAAAATAAATAATTTTTTTTAAATGGTTAAGATGGCAGAAGAAAGAATTAAATCATGCCATTTTTAGGAACGTGGATGCAATTAGAGATCATCACACTAAGTGACGTAAGTCAGACAAAGAGAAATATTACATGATATCATTTATATGTGGAATCTAAAAAATAATACAGATGAATTTATTTACAAAACAGAAACACACTCACAGACATAGGAAACAAACTTACGGTTACCAAAGGGGAAAGGGGGTGGGGAAGGATAAATTAGGAGCCTGGGATTCATACAGTCCTACTATACATAAAATAGATAACAAGGATTTTTTGTGTGTGTGTTTTGACAAATCTATTTAACCATGAAATGACCACCCCAATCTAGATAAAAGGCAACAAGGATTTACTGTATAGCACAGGGCACTATATTCAATATGTTGTAATAACCTATAATGGAAAAGAATCTGAAATATATATATATATAAAATATATATATATATATACATATATACATGTGAATCACTTTGCTGTATACCCAAAACTAACACAGTATTGTAAATCAACTGTATTTCAATTTTTAAAAAATGGTTAAGATGGCAAACTTAATGTTATGTGTTTTTTACCACAATTTTAAAAAATTGTCCCTAAAAGGGAAGGAAAAAACTTGGGAATTGTAAATGAAGACGGTAAGAAGAAAAACAACTTAAAAGAGGAGCCACCAGCTCACAAGCCCCACAGCAGAGAGAGCAACAGATCCCAGGCCCCAAATCTACCAGAGTCCACCAGGTCCCAGCCCAACACCCCTCACCCGCCTTCTCGCTGAACCCCAGAAGCTCTCCCGCCAGGGGCAGACGGGGCCTTTTGGAATGAAGACAGGACCTGGCCCTGAACGGTGCCCCGGCCCCGCTCAGAAGAAACTCCGAAATCCTGACCTGGGGCACAAAGGCCTGCAGCCCCTGCCCCTCTGCGACCCCACCTCTGAGCTCATGTCCTACCCCCTCCCAGACGCCCCCGATGCAGCCCCGGCATAAGCACGCCATTTCCTTTGCCTGGACCACCCTCCTGGGCGGGACACTCAGCACCCTCTCCCCCCCTCCTTTACTGTCTGGGCAGAGGCCTCCTCTGACCACCACCCTCTGTCACCTCGTGCCCCGACCCCGCACAGCCAGGGCCATCGCCCCCTGATGCATATTCGTTTATGGTGTTTGCTCTCTCGCAGACCCTGCACCCAGCCCCGGGGCTGGCACACGTTGGGCACCTCGGGAATCCTGGCTGATGGATGAGAGGAGGAACAGCCCAGCTCGGCCAAGAAGGACAGAGAGGCCGGCGCCCTGCTGCACTCAGCACCCAGGACCCAGTTGGGGGCCCCGGAGCTCCAGAGGCACAACTTCATGGCCACCAGCCACACCCACAGGCAAGGACACGGGTGCCGGGGCCTACGGACCAAGGTTGTCAACTGTGCCCGCCAACAGGGATTGTCTCCCAAATGCCGCTGAGAGATGCTCCTGTCCACCCAAACCTGAACTTCAGCAGGCCACGGGGAATACCCCTCAGGCTGCAGGTGGGCCCCGGGGGGGCCTCAGTCCTGACCAGCCAGCCACGCCCCCCAAGCCAAGGTCAAGCCAAGGTCGACCAATGCAGATAAGGACAAGGGAGAGGGAGGCCGGCCAGTGGGTAGTGGGGTAGGGCGCCTAAAGGACCATGAAGGTGGAGGTGACAGAACACGAGCCCGAGCACAGGAGGCAGAGCGGTCTGGCCGCGGGAAGGAACCTGGACTGGCTTCTCGATTTCTGACCTCGTGGTTGACACACCCAAAGGTTAGGTGCCCTGGGGGCGAGTGGGAACCGTTCGTAAACCCACGACCACAAAGCCCCGCAAGGCAGCCCCGCTGTCCCGAGCTTACCCACAGATAAGAATCCCTTCCCTACCCCAGTCATGGCTGTTTTAAAGACCTCCTGTGTGTCGTCTTCTGCGACATGCCTGTGTTTTCTAGAAGACTCTGAGAGTTTTTGACTCCGGATCCCAGGAGGCCGCTGCAGCGTGGCCAGCCGGCTGTCCCGGTCACCCCCTCACCCACCCCCCTTGGCGGACGGCAGGGACCTCCCACATCCGCTCCTGCCCCCGCGACTCCGAGGGGGTTGGGGGCCTCTCACAAGCCGCGCCCGTGCGCTTCCCGGGGGTAGTTCGAATCCAGCCCCACCCCTTCCCGGTGCCCCGCCCACCTGCGGCCGCACAGCGCGCCTGCACGTCCCCGGTTACAGTTTGACTTATCTGAGTTCCTGTTTCCCCCTCTCCGCGGTGTCTGCCCCTGAGCCGACGACCTTATCAGCGCCACACCAGTTCTCCCCGGGCTACAGGTGTTGCGATAAACTCTCCCGCTTGCTCAGCCTTGCCTTTCCGCTGTCTTTACAGTGTCTCTTAATGAACAGGTTCCTAGTCTTGATGCAGCGACTGACTGTGGTTTTAGGAAGCCCCTCCAGAGGGGAGCGTGGCATCCTCACCTCCTGCAGGGCTGTGTCTATGGGTCGGTGGGGAACCCTGCAGCCCGTGTGCAGTCCTCACACATGCAGCCAGGCCAGGCTTCAGTGCACGCGTGGGCCCATGCTGCCCCACACCCCGTCTGTCCCGTGGGTCTGGGGTTGGTGGGCAGGGTCTGAGCCCTGGGGTCAGGCCTGTGAACCTGTCCTGTCACATGCAGAGGGGACTGCAGTGGCTGCGGGACTGCGGGGCTGGGGAGTGTTGGAGATGACAGCCCGCATGAGGCCTGAGGTCCACAGTGGATTCTCCCCGGGGCCTCCTGCCTACCCACCAGACCTCAGCCCCACAGAACGGCTGGGTCAGGGACATGAGCCACTAACTTACATCACCGCAACAGTAGGAGCCAAACCCCAGGGCCCACGCCTGCAGCCTTGGAAAGCTCCTGGCTCACGGGGTCACCGTGACGGGGTCACCGCGGACGGCTCCACTCACCCCCAGCTTGGCCTCTCGGGCAGGTTCCACCTTGTGTTTCAGAATCACCAGCCCAGGTCCCACAGACACAGACACGCTTGTGGTTTTGATTGAACTGTACTGAATCTACAGATCAGTCTGAGAAGTGACAGCTCAATAACGTAGAGTTTGCATTTGAGTTTCTAAAACTTAAGTTCCCGAGAGCCAGTGGCCATCCCAGCTTCAGGGAGTACACAGGAGGCAGGGAACTTGCCCCGTGGGGCAGTCAGGACGGCAGCAGGGGGTCCAGAAGTGCCTTTAAACACTCGAGGGCCACAGGCGGGGGCCTGAGTCCCGTGTGCCCTGGACCCGACTGGAGCAAGCAGGGAGCCCATAAGAGGGGCTAGGAGACGGGGACCAGGCCTTGGAGGGAGGGGCTCGGGCCAGAGGCTCTCTGGGGCCCGCCTGTGAGGAGAGGGTCGGGGGGCACTCCTGAAGGGGGGCCAGCTCGACCCCGGTCTGGTCAGTGCTCCCAAGGCCAGTGCAGAGGCACCACAGGTGTGCCCCAACCCGGGACAAAGGAGGCCCAGAATGGCCCAGAGGGGCTAGTGCCCCTGGGCATGAGCCAGCACTCCCCAAGTGGACAGCAAAGGCCAGTGAGGAGGCGTTGTGGCTGGGCCCTGGGGCCTAAGCTGGCTGGCAGCAGGTCAGGGTGGAGAACACTGGGGGACAGGGGAGCCCGGCAAGGGAGGCCGGGCTGAGGCCATGTCCACGGGCGGGAGCGGGACGGGGCAGGTGCCAAGAAGCCAAGCCTCCTGGGAAGGAGCGGAGCCTGTTCTGGCAGAGGCTGGGGGCACATCCTCTGGACACAGATGGCTCTTTGTCAGGGCGGAGCCCAGCTCCCCGAGCAGTCTCGGGAACAAAGCCCCCTCTGTCCACAGTGGCCTCCCCCTCCCCCCCCGGGGGCACCACCCCCAGAAACGGAGCAGAGTCCCCCCACTACCCAAGGTTCCCATCAGGCGTCCCTGCCCAACACAGACACACACACACACGCACGCACACACGCACACCAGGTACAGGCATGGCCCAGGTGGGGTGTACAAAGGGAGCCCAGGATGAGGGTGCTCCAAGGGTGCATCCAGGACACTGCATCCCTGGGGCCCTCACGCCCACCCTGTGCTGCAGGCCATGCCTGTCCATCCAGCACCTGAGCAGTCCTAGACCAGCCCAGCCTCAGCCACCACTGCCCAAAGACCCCTCGCCCTGGGCCTGAGGGGAGCATCCCCTCCCCAGACAGAGACCCAGAAGGGTGGCAGAGGGACAGCTGGAGCCTCAGCCCTGCAAGGAAGCCTCCACAATTTATTTCCGGGTCTTCTCCAGATCCTGAATGCCCACGGCCACCACAATGGGCCTGCCCCCAGCACTGCAGGCTGCGGGGCTGGGTACTGCCCAAAGTGGGGACCCAGGGCCCAGGGCCCTGCGTGCCTGCACCACCAGGGCTGTGTCTGTGTCACCCCTGCAGCTACCCGGCCTGGAATCTGTCCCTCCAAGGCCCAGCCAGGCTGAGGGGTGTGCCCCCGGAAGAAGGGAACGTCAGCGTCCAGGTGGCAGGATCCAGACGGAGCCGGGTGGGGCTCCCACCAGCCTGGCCAGCTCCTGCCGACACTGGCCCTGGAGCTGGTGCAGCACCACCTCCAGGTGGGCCTCCCGGCTCCTCAGCGCCTCAATCACTTCAGGGGCTCGCAGGCCTGGGTCCCCGGGCGCCCCAGCCTCAGTCCTCACCAGCCGGTGGGGCCCGTGGGGCTGGGCCAGGCTGCAGCCGCTGCCTCGCTCGCAGGCCTGCCGCAGAGCGGCCAGGTCCTGCCCCACGGCCTCCCGCAAGGCCGTCCTTGTGGTGCTCCACTCGGGCCCACAGCCTCCGACCTGCACAGGGGACATGGCAAGTGAGCCGAGGGTGACCAGTCTCACCAGGACCCTGGCTCAGGGCCCTCGGCTCTCCCTGAGCCCTGCCCCCAGCCCCCAGCAGTCCTGCGGCCCCTCCCAGTGCCCAGAGCCCACCGCTCTCAGGAAAAGAGGACCAACTCCAGCGCCAGCTCTAAGGCCTGGCTCCTCCAGGCTCTGTCACCCGCACCGAGCATCTGAGCCCTAAGCCAGAGGCCGTGTGGCCCCGGGGACAGGGCCAGCAGCTTGATCACCCCCGACAGCCCTGCAGGGCCTGAGCCCTTAGGACCACCCAGCTGCAGGCCCAGCTCTTTCACTGCGGTATTGCAGGGGGAGTGGGCCTGGCTGCCCCCAGCAGGCCAAGTCCTGCAGGGTCTGCTCAGAGCCCAGAGTGCAGACCCTTGGGACACCCACCCCCAATCCCACCCACCACTCCAGGCGGGGTCAGCATGTCCTCTGCTCTATCGGCTTCCCACTTTCCCACCGCCCTCGCAGAGGGGTGGCATGGGGTGGCCCTGACCCAAGGGGACGCCAGGCTAAGGGGACGCCAGGCCGAGGATACGACCTGGTGAGGACACCTCTGGCCCCCAGGGCAGGCCCATCCCAGAGACCCTGCAGGCAGCAGGGAGCGCAAAGAGGCTGTGCCCTCGGTGTCCCCAGGGAACTGCCCTGACCCTGACCCTGACCCCGACCCTCAGTGGGCACTGCTCCGTGATTCGCAGCAAGGAAGCATGAAGAGCCCTGAGCCTGGACAAGCACCGGCTCCGCTTCCTGTGAGAAACCCCGCCTGCAAACGTCACCGGTGCTTCAGCTGTCACTGCCCAAGAGGGCAGGGGGCTCCAGCTTGGCCCAGCCGGAGGAGACATGGCCGTGCAGGGCCTGAACGAGCCATGCTGCAGGCCCCCAGGAAACACCCGTGCTCCCCAGGGGTATCTGAGGGGAAAACCACGCCTGCAGTTTACTCTAAGATGCTACAGAAAAAGGAAATCAATGCAGCGCACGTGGCCCACTGTTCACAGCCACAAACCCGGTGCTCGCCCAGTCCAGCTCATGGAGAGGGGAGGGTGGCGCCCAGGTGGGGTTGGGGGACCCACATGTCCACCAGCAGGTTCAAAAGGCCACATGGTGTGAACGGAAGCCAGCAGGGACGACATCAAAACTGCCCTGGGATAACGAACAGACCTCCATCAGGGTGGCCAGGGTGGGGCGGCAGCGGAGTCTGGCAGGTGAGCCCACCCCCCCTTGCAAACAGACCAAATGGTGCAAGTCCCACCGTGGGAGCCCCCCATCGAGCACAACCCGGGCCAGGGCTCCAAGTCCTCACCCCGGCCTCCCAGGCCGCCCGCCGGGCCTCCACCGCCTCTCGCAGCTCTCCCTGCAGGGCCTGCAGCTCCCGCACCAGGGGCTCCAACGCTCCAGCCCCTGGCGTGGGGATCCTGGGCAGAAACGTGGGCTGTGAGGCCTCAGGGGGGCAGGCATCCAGGACCGTGTCCTGCAGAGAGGGACCCCAAGTGAGAGGGTGGGCGGCAGGCCCAGGCCTCACCACCAGAGGCCCAGCTCCCCAGCCGGCAGGGGCAGAGGCCCAGGATCACTTCCCGCCCCCGGGTCACAGACCAAGCTGGACAGTGACCCTCACCCCAGTGGGCCTGGAGGCCAGGGAGGCACAAAGGCCAGGCTTCCAGAAGGCCAAGATCCCTGAGAAGTCTGGGCCTCCCCAGGAGCTGGGAAGGGTGGTGATGGGACAGACAGACATCTGGAAAGAGCCACACACACAAAACCCACAGGCCTGGGTGTGAAACCGGCTTCAGGGCTGGGTGTGGGGGGCTCCCCTGAGACTTCTCTTCCTGTCTGGAAAATGGGAAAGACACCACCACCACCCCGGGGCTGCTGTGGTCAGACCAGGGGAGGGGAGGGGAGGGGAGGGGAGGGACAGGAGGTGGATGGCACGGCTTCCTGACCATCCACCGCCAGAAGACCAGCTCCCGGCGCCGCCACTCGAGGGCCGCCTGCAGCCGTGCGTTCTCCCTCTCCAGCCTCCGCAGCAGCTGCAACGCAAACCATTAAGGCCGCAGTCAGAGAACCCAGTGCGCCTGGGACCCTGCCCACCCTGCCCACCGTCTCTGGCTCAGTCGCCTTGGCTCACCCGGCCCACCCGCGGGCGGAGGCACCTCCCTGCAGGGCACGGCAGGACAGGGCGTGGCACGGCAGGGCAGCCTCACCTCCAGCACAAACAGGCCAAGCCTACCAGGCCTCTGACCACACCAGTGATCCCCCAGGCCCCCCAGAAGCGTGGGTCCCGCAGGGTCCGGGGCTGAGTCCTGGTGCCCCCTCACTTGGGACTCCACCCCACATCCCCCGCTGACTGAGGGCTGCACCCCGGAGGCTTTGGGTGTATGGGGAGGCCCCGGATGGGGGAGACTGGCGGGTTCTGGGAATCCCTCCCTGTAGTCCCCTGGAGCCCAAAGGCAGGGCAGAGGCTGCACGGCGCCCAGCTTGGAGGCGACGGAGGACAGACCGGGGACCAGGGTGGAGAACACAGCCACGTAGCCCCCCGGCCCCACCCTGCAGGCACGGCCCGAACAGCCCCACACCTGCGGACCCCACAGTCCAGTGCACGGGCACATGCTCCCGTCCCGACTGCCGAGGCCACTGTGTTCTCGGGAAGCCGGACAGGGGCAAGTCCAGGCACGGTCCACCCCAAGGGCCCACGGCAAGCTGCGGAGAGACAGATGGGCCCCACTGGGACGGCCCAGGCCAGCACCTGCTGTGCTCCTCTCTGAACACAGCAGCCAGCACAGTGACCCAGCCTCCGGCACCGCTCCTTCTAGAAGGGAGCCCAGGAGTGTGCTCTGGGGCCGGGACAAATGGCCAGAGCCGGCAGCTGCCCTGTCGGCAGACAAGAGCCCTGCCAGGCCTCCACTCACAGAGGCTGGTGCCCGAGCCATGCGCACCAGCGTGCCTGCCAGGCAACCAGGGGATGCACATAGCTGGACAAGGGGCTCCCGGGTCAGGGAGCCAGATGGGGGCAGCCTTGAACACCAGGCCAAGGGCTCAGCCCATGGCCAGTGGAGCAGGGAAGGCAGGCCTGCGGTGAGAATCGCCCTGTGGTCTGGGGGAGGGCTGCGGACATGGGAGGACGGAGCCCATATGCCCACACCACACACACACCCCGCTACACACACCTGCTGGTCAGTGAGAAGAGCAGCTTACTCAGCTCCCAAGAACAGTCCCAGAGGGTGTCCACACCCCCGCATCCCAAGCCACAATGTAAGAAGACTACAGGCCCAGCCAGTAACCAAGGATGCTGCCCAGCCACTCCACAGCATGCCTGGCCACTGACACGGCAACAAGAGATCATTCCAGAAGCTTATGGGACCCATCCCAAGAGCGCAGCACCTTCAGGTCAGCTGGTCCAGGCTGCCACCAGCTCCTCATCCAGAATCCTTGGAAGGAAGCCAACTGTCCCCATCCACCTGGCCATGCTGTTTTCAGTCCTGGGGCACCAACATGCACCACCCTCCAGGAGGAGGGAAGCCGTACCCGCCCAGGCCCCCCACAGAGGCTGGGGTCCCAGGCAGCACCAGGCTAGAGCCCCAGGCAGCACCAGGCTGGAGCTGGCACAGCCTCTGCTCTACTCAGACCAGGGAGGGGACCAGGGGCAGGAGGGCTGCGCCTCGCTGAGTCACCCCTGAAAGGGAACAGAGCCAAGGGCATCTCATTACACCCAGATGCTGCCTCAGCACCTTCAGGGCCAAGCACAGCCTTGCCCAGGTAAAACCAGCCAGGCAACAGCCCGGAACGCAGACCGGGCAGGCACCAAGGGCCAGGCAGACATCCCCAGGTAGCCGCCCTGACCCCACAGTGGGGATGCAGACCCCCTAGGAGCATGCGGCTCTACAGGTGGGATCTGCTGGGCCTGCCCTGAGCCTCAGCCCTCCTACCCAGCCAAGTGCCCCAGGACAAGGCACTGCCAGCCTCACACTCTGGACCTGCCAAGCCCAGCACTCAAGTAATGGCCAGCCTTGGGCCTGTCCCAGGACCCACTGGCCAGGCAAGCCCAAGGGAAGGAAACAGTGATGATGGATGGGGGCTCCTGAAAAGAAGGTCAGTAGAGTGTGGGGCAGCGCCAACCCCCACCTCCCCATCAACAGGTGACACGTGCCCAAGCTCAAGGCACCCACACCGTCAGCTCGGACCCTTGAGCGGTCTTCCTTAATTCCAGTGCCCCCCTCGCTAGCTGCCAGCCCGGCCCAGACACCTGTGTTCTTCCCACAGCCCAAAGTGTACCCAGCCACGTGCATACACACAGCAGCACTGGCTGCTCCGGGGGCAAGGGAGGCCCTGAGGTTGCATGTGTCTCCTACATAGGCAAGGGGGTGAGCTTGGGGACTTCCCTGGTGGTCCAGTGGATAAGACTCCATGCTCCCAAAGCAGGGGGCCCAGGCTCAATCCCTTGTCGGGGAACTAGATCCCGCATGCTGCAACTAAAGAGTCCACATACCGCAACTAAGGGTCCACATGCCACAATGAAGATCCTGAACGCCGCAACAAAGATCTCACGTGCCGCAACTAAGACCCGGCACAGCCAAATGAATAAAATAAATATTTATAAAAAAAAAAAAAAAAAAAAATTTTTTTTTTTTTTTTTTAAAATCCGTGACCCAAACGTACTCAGGTTGAAGCCTCCCCCTTCATCCCTGGTCACTTCTGCTGTCTCTGCTTGCATCAGCCCCCTGGAGAACCTCTGTCTCCTGGCCTGAATTGAAACTCAGCTCTACCCAGAGGGTATCACTTCTTTTGCAGCTCTCTTAAGTATTCTTCCGCAGGCCACACCCCCAGGATGAAGGGTGGGAATAGCCCGCTCCTCATTCCCTGGAGCAGAATCCAAACATTCCTACTTCCTGCTGGTGCAGTGGTTAAGAATCCACCTGCCAACGCAGGGGATACGGGTTCAAGCCCTGGTCCGGGAAGACCCCACATGCCGCGGAGCAACTAAGCCCGTGAGCCACAACTACTGAGCCCGCGTGCCACAACTACTGAAGCCCGCGCACCTAGAGCTCCGCAGCAAGAGAAGCCACTGAAATGAGAAGCCTGCGCACCGCAACAAAGAGTAGCCAGCCCCCGCTCGCCACAAGTAGAGAAAGCCTGCGTGCAGCAACAAAGACCCAACGTGGCCATAAATAAATAAATAAATAGATAGATAATAGATAAATAAATATTTTTTTAAAAGATGGTGAGCTTGGCTAACACCCACAGCTCAAAGCTGGTCTGCTCTCTGGGTCCCCCACCCTCCCAGGCTCCTTCTCACCTTGGGTCACGCCCACTTTGGTCCCACCAGCCCTCACCTGCCGGCCACCCTCCGGGTCTCTGAGCAGCTCCGTTTCGGTGACAGACAGGTGGCCAAGGCTGCGGTCGCTGTGGCAGCCACGGGTATATGAGTGGATCTGAAAGAGGCAGTGTAGACCCCAGGCTGAGAAGGTGGGCGCCTCCCCCCTGCCAGCGCTAGGCAAGGACCTTACAGATAAGGAAACAGGGTTCAGAGAGGGTCGGGCCCAGGAGAGTAGTCAGCACTGCTGGGAGGCTGGCCCAAGGCCCAGTACCCACCAAGAGGCCCATGCAGAGGGAGGGGCACCCCACCCAGCTCCCAGGGGTGCAGTATAGGTAGAGTGGGGCGCCCCTGCTTCCCCCTCAGCTCATCAAGTGCGAGGCCCGTGTGGTGGCAGAAACAGCCTCTGGACAGGCTCAGTGGTTCAGTGAGGCCAGTGGCAGGGACACAGACACAGGGAGGGCACCCCAGCAAGGTGAGGCCTGAAGGCAGGAGGGAGGTTAACTGGTGGGCGTGTCCCACACAGAGGAGCAGCTGGAGCCCAGACAAGAGGCAGTGAGGGGTCCCAGGAAACGCTAGCTGAGCAAAAGACCCTCTCCCAGGGGCAGAGCGCAAGGCGGGGTGTTCTAGCACCAGAGAGCCCTGCGCTGGTGCGAGCCCTGGGCCACCTGCCCAGCCACCGCTCAGCCCAGACCATGCACTATACCTGTGGGGACAACTGTGCCCCAATAGCTGAGCCCTACTAGCCTTTCGGAAGCCCGCAGGAGCTGCCCACCGCCCGTGAGCCCACACCCAGGATGCAGTGGGAGGGGGTGCCTTCCTCGCCATCTCGTGTTCAGGCAGCAGTGGCTCCCCAGAGCCCACTTCGGTGCTCAGTGACATAGAGTCTGAAGCTTCTAGGGAGTTCTGGGGACAGGAAGGTCGACCCTGCAGGCTCCCTGCCCCCCTGATTCCCTGCCCCATAGATGTCCAGCAACACCTGCTCTAGGCCCCCTCCTGGACAACCTGGAGCCCTAGGGTCAGGCTCTGGGCCACCCCAGGCTGTGCCCAACAGGTCAGCTCCCAGCCAGGCCTGGGAAGGCCCACATTCAGCCAAAGGCTGGGCGCCAGCCTGCGACGAGAATGCTGGACAGGCCTCTATAGCACAGAGGACAACTGCCCCTGGGTGGACAACGCATGCGTGGCACTACCTTGCCCAGGAGGGCGCACTGCTCCTGCTGACTGGCCATCAGGTTTCGCCACCGGAACCGCAGCTTTCCCATCAGCCACTGCAGGTGGCGGATGTCCACACAGCCGTCTGCTTCCACGCTGGGGGCAGGAGGACCAGGGCTGGCCAGGGCCTCGCACTGGGGAGGGGGCAAGGGTCACGCACTGCTCCCACACCCCAGGCAGAGACCACGAAGGGGAAAGAGAAAGGAAGCCCCCGGGAGTGAGTGCCAAGAGATCCCGGGGGCGCCAGGAAGAGCTGGGTAAAGAGCCTGTGGGCACGTCCCCGGCCCTCACCTGCCTCCGTGTGCTCACCCGGGAATTCGGGTCAGCAACACTGACCCCCACAGGGCTGACCCCGCCGGTCCGGTGCCCACACCCAGGATTCCCGCCCGGGCTGGGCGCGGCTCACACTTATCCCTCACCCACCTCGCACACGGGCATCTCATCTCCCAGCTGCACGCGGTTCTGGGTCAGCAGCCGCTCGGGCAGGGGCCCGCGGGCCAGGAGCCAGGCCAGGGCCAGCAGCAGCTCGCGGCCGCCCTGGGAGCCGTCGTCCGGGAGTTGTGCCAGGGCCCGCCTAGGGTAGCCCTGGGTGCGCAGCGCCAACTTCACAGAGCGGACCTGGGCCTCTGCGGTAGGAGACGCCAGCTCAGGGGGGACACCCACTGGAGATGACACTACCCAGACTCCTAAGGGACCCCCGCGGGACGCAGAGCAGAGACCATGCTTGGAAGGGACCAACAGGGGCATTGGGACCTAACCTGGAGGCGGGAAGGGGAGGGGCTCACGCGGGGGGGGCGGGGTGTCTCATCGGGGAGGCGGGGAAGTGGGCGGGGCCTTACGGAGGGCTGTCCCGTGGTCTGCGGTGGGCGGGGCTCTTGGTGGGCGGGGCCAGAGCCTTACCAGGCGGGCCTTACCCGGGGAGAATGAGGCCGAGGCGCCGTCGGCCAGCTGCGGCGAGAGCACGCGGAAGAGCAGCCGCCAGAGCGCGGGGGCCTGCGAGGATCAAAGAGCGACGGTCAGCGGGGCTGGCGGCGTCCCTGCGTCCTCCCGGAGCCCTACTGGCCCCGGCCGCCTGCCCTGCTGGCCTCACCGCCTCCGGACGGTCGAACTTGGCGCGGCGGAAGGTCTCGGGGCTGGGTCCGGCAGGCAGAGTCTGACTCAACGCGGCGATGGCCTCGGGCAGGGCCCGGGCCGCGTCCGCCG